GTTGTGCGCAAGTTCAAAGGAAAGGGAGTTCAGATTACAGTTTTTTTTAAATATCTTTTAAAGCTGCACTTTATGTCAAAGTATCCTGCTGCATTCCACGTGGGCTTGAATTGTAAGCTATTTACAAATAAAGTGAGTAAACCTTCAGTCAAAACATTCCAGATGTAGTGGTTGAAAACCCAAATCACGGGTTACAAATATCAAAGTTAGACCAGCTATTTGTTGCTTTCTGACATTCGACGCGAAAGGAGCTCAAAAGAAACATTGGCCCCGAATTATTTCGGACTACAAGCGGAGCTACATTTCACAAACCCGGGTTTATATAACAAATAACGGTAATAGCTACGTTGTTGCTCCAAACGACATTCTCGAACGTAACCCATTGGACGTGAGGTATTGCTATCCGAACGTGTCTCCGTAGTTGAAGCATTTGTTTAAGTTAGAGCAGGCCGCTCGCTACGTGGCACCGAAATTATTACCGGGACCTCTTGAACTTTAGATCTAAATTGTTACTTTTGCTTGTAGATCCTATCCAAGAGTCGAAAATTTACACTGAGCGTTTATATTTATTCAAACAGTTCCTGATTATCAGTGTTCAACAAAATAGACGTATTTGATAATGCTAATTGAAACCACATATGTTTAATAAATGTATTTTTCAATTTCTCTGCGTTCATTGTATACTTCCTTATGCCTCCACACGTCATGAATTACACAATTGATCAAATAACTCTGCAATCGCAAAATAAAAAGCTAAATATCGTATTTGTCGTAATAAACGAGTCAGTGTTATCTTAGCTTGGGTTTAACATAGTTTGTCTATTCCCTTCTCCAGATACCCAATTATGCACTTATAATTCGTGCGCAAAGCGGCACTTTCAAACTTCAGCTTCATTAAACACTGTCGCTAGCCATTTCGAACGCTTTTGATACTTTAGTCACAGATCGGGAGCGATCAAATGGTTTTCAGTAAATTTAAAACACTGGTGGTATTTTGACGTCAATTCTGATTATTGCACTCACTCGTTTTGCAAAAATGTATCCAAAAAGAAGAGCATAGTAGGCAAAACTTTCATAAATCGCCTGTTTGCAATTACAGCGCTACCTACAAACAATCCAAAACAAAACCTGACATTTTTTAATCCAAATTTGTAATAAAAAATGGAGATTTCCATCCACCACCAGTGGGTTGGGGCAGGGAGCAATATTTGGTGATATTTCAGTGTTTTCACATTTTTTGATACCTGGTAGGTAGGTTAAACTTCAAGTGCGACAAAGTTACTTCAAAGTTTGAATGGAAGGAAGCGAGATGAAAAATATTACAGCGCCTGCAGACATGCTTGCAGTATTAGTTTATCGCAACGCGAAAATCCTTAATAAATATGTTTGATTTCTCGACCTTTTCTTTGATTCCATTAATCTCGGCATATATGTATAGACGTTTCACACTCATTAATGTCGAAGAAGTATATTCAAGACGGGCACGTGCATGAATTTGAATATACATCTTAGATAATATGCCCCTAAATACACAGCGATCTTCACACGTTTCGTTCGTTTTCCTAGAAAATTTTATGAAATTCCTTGTGTTTTCTTTAACAGTATCTAGCTACTATTCATTATTTCTGCAAATTTCTTCTATTTTCATTTAATTTAATCCCCAAAAACTCCAAAGATTTAAAGGTCATATTTTGTACGGTCCCTAATAACTATGATTGTAAAAAATGCACAAATAGAAATAAAGCATATTAGCGTTGCCGGATGTGCGCGATGAGCATAATTTAAAATCTCTTGTTGCGAAAGTTTTGAATATATTCGCCGGCGTCGCACCGCCGTTTCGTTGAATATGCAAACGGTTTTTTGCCCGCGAAACAAATGAACGCGCTTAAAAACTTTTTGATTCCCCCGTCCTACGGTTCGTAAATGTTTTCCACCCTGACGATTTGCGAATATTAAAAAGATAACGTTGGAACGATTTGTATTTTACAGGCGCATGCTATACAAATTTGGACGTAAGACCCTCATACATCTGAACCCGATCAAAAGTAAAAAAGGCAAATTTTGGATGATAGTAATTTGGATTGATGTCTTTCTCTTCCTCCTTTATATAAATGTAAAAATAGAGTGCTATCGTTTTTTGACTCCTTATAATAATCTAACATCTAACAAAACATTCGCAAGAAAAGAAGGCGAATTGATAACCTTAGATTTTAGAAATATTAAAGTATTTCTAAAAAATTGATTGGGATATTCATTGGGCAGGAAATATCAGTTTGTATTTATTGTTCAAGGAAAAAACAATGAACTCAATCTCGCGCGGCTACGCGATAAAAAAATAAGAAAAATTTGTAATGGGGATTGTTGTCTTTCTCTTGCTCAATTATATAAATGGGAGATAACACCCCAATCTCGTTGTACTTACTAACATATATTCTTACCGAAATTATTTACGCATTATTATTTATTAATCATTTCTTAATATTTTCTTTAAATATTTTTAAAACAATTGATAATAATCTAGTTTCTTAAAAAAAACTACAAAAAAAAAACAGAATCAAATTGATATACTTAGAAATTCAAAATAGTTAAATCTTTCTAATGTTTTAAAAAATATATTAAAAACCTACTTTTTATTTCTTCAGAAAGGTAAATTTTATTTTTCAATTTTTGTGACACCTAAATCAATACATAATAAATGTGAAAATATTTATTTATTTGTTATTTCCAAATAATACGCAAATGTACGCAATATTATGGTCTCATACAAGGAAATACTTGAAATTTATTTTTATAATAACTTGTTACCTTACTGCCACCATATAAAACAAGAATTTACCAATTAAAAAAATGTTTCTTATTTAATTAATATTCAATACAAATAACATTGTCACCATAAAAAGTAGTCAGAATATATCACAACCACACTCGGATTTTTTCTGGTAATTCCACTTTTATTTTTCAATTGCACTAACACCTTTTAAAATCTACCTAAAAAAACCATCTGCCCTTGCACAAATTTTTACTTGCCGCCTTTTCGAAAATTCCCAATTGCTTTATTACATTTACCCAAAAGTGTTTACAATAGATAATAAAAATAAACTTTACTTGATGTATTTAGAATATCATTGTTTTGGTCAGGTCTTTTCGTTACTTTCTCGGTTTGTTATTTGAATTTTTGTCTCGTCTGTCTAATTTTAGTTTGATTTCATTAGTTTGGTAACGAATATGAGGATTTTTCGTAATTAGAACATATCGTGTTATTAATTATAAATGAAAGTGTTTTTTGAAAAGTAACCTAAAGTAACTTGAGCATATGGTACATTATTATTATGACGAAGAATAAATTGTTTCACAAACTTATCAGTTGATAAACAATTTACAGCTTAAAAAAAGTCCAAAAAAATTGAGAAATAATAGAAACATTCTCCTACTACATTTATCTGGCTTAGTATTAACGTGTCGGATAAAAGAAAACAACACCCATTCCTACCCTTGTCACTCTTTAGCAAAGTTGCTTGAGAAAATCCAAATTTACCTGCTATTACAAGGAATGTCAAATTGGTGTGGCCATCGTACTTACGCCGAGAAATACTTAGTTATGACGTACTGCACTTTGCACCATGTTCTTTCTAACCAGCGATCTCCACACACTTAAACTCGTTTTCCCAGAACATTTTACGAGATCTAGACATATTCTGAGAAAATACTGCCATAAAAATGCCGAATCCAAACTTTTTGACGATCTGTCAGCAGCCCTGTTGGTTGTTGCATGCCACAAGATAAATCTCGCGCATGCGCATGTTGCATGGACCTTCTCAAAATCTGTTTCATATTTGCTTCATAAGTTCCTGTATATCCTGTATATCTCTTGAAGCTATATGGTTACAGCCATGTACACCTTTTAGCAAATAAAATCGCAAAAAGTCCAATATAGCAGCAAGCACATCGTCACAAATATACCTAAATTTAACAAACGGTCCATACGCTACACACACAGTTCAGTCTATGTCATCTGAATGCTAATAAGTATCGTTGACTGAAAAGAGTGGAGAAGAGAGGGGGAGATGGGCAATGTTTAAACTTTAAACAAACCTAGAAAAAGACTCTTGTAAGTAAACAAATTCTTATTTTGACCAGCCTTGAGGTGATGTATAGTTTTTAGCAACTTTTTCAAGGTGGTTTTGGTGCGATGTTAAATTTTAGAATAAAATCGCTGATAATGAACAAGTTAATAAAGGCATCAATAATTATTGATTTGCAGTTTGCAATGTTGAAACTTGCTACGTATATATATAATGACGATGTGCAATATTAAACCGTACATTTCCACATTCTGCTTAAACATAATTCATAATAAACGAACTATCACAGGAAATGACGTGCTTGCTACTTCGATAACTGAAAAACTTTAGACGAACCGTATATTTCAGCCCATTAAGGGTTGATTACTTTTTTAATGACCGTTCTTCCTCTGCTTGTACCGCATTAAAAAGATAAAAGTACACATATACTTGAAAGTTGCTCTTTATAGACTGCTTCCTACATAAAAAAAAACGCACTTTTATACTTTAATACCTAGGGGACCTGTTGAAAACAAAAATAAAATGTTTTGAAAAAATGGAGCATTCTAATTAGTGTATTAATTACTGATAGCTATAGGTGCAAAATTATGGTTAAAATTGGAATTAGATAGCAGGTAAGGAAAAGAAACGAATCTTTTTTTAAGTTTCATCACAAAATGGGCATAGTCACCTTTATCAGAGAAATTTTTTATCAATTCAATTCAATTCCATTAAATTTGGATACATATTTTTTAATTTGATTTAAAAAAATAAAAATCAGTATGGATTTTTTTATTTTAAATTACATAAATCACTCTGCATAGCATACATACATAAAAAATATTCTTTAATAATTTTCTCTTTTTTTTAAATATTGACAGAACAAGAAATCCTGGCCCTCAACCCTTGAGGACAAGGTGAAACTAACAAAAACTGGGACATAATTGTTGATTCTAATTTTCTTTAGATAGTTTGCTAGTCACTCCTAGTTCTGAAAATAATGCAGATAGCTTTACAACATTAGATCAGCTGAGTAACGTCCAATAATTTTTGGTTGAATCCAGGTTAATTTTTCAGCAATAAACAAGTTCTTGAAACAAACAGTTTAATAAAAAAAAATTAATATACAGGAAAATTTGAATCAACATTGTGTGAAAAAGCATGAAGACCTCCTTGAACATTGAAAAAGTTTAATTCCATATCTGCCACTTTGTCCATTAAAAGGCTGATTGCCCTTTGAGAGTCATTTCCTCTTCTGCAGACAACATATACTGAAACTTATGTTATTTCCAATAATATTCATTATTAGCTTTAGTACTAACCATTTTTATCAGTATTACAAAGCCTTTGTTCCCACAGATTTCTAAATTTTATTATCCCCATTGTATTTTCCAATTCGGACAAGGGGATGTTTAGAGTCCTTGGAATTTTGCACATCTCATATTCCAAGTTGGCTCTTACATCTAGTATAAAACTTGGACCTACCAGTTTTGAAAAATCTTTCACATTTATATTCTGCTCCTCAGATAGTATGTCAATATTAGTAACCTATAAATCAGTACATTCTTGACTTTTTGACATTTTGACTATAGAACAGTCTTACCTTATCATGTGCGGCTGCACCACAAAATTCTTCATAATCAATAAGTTTTTTTATTGAAGGAGTATCCCCACATATCTCACATTTGACATTTCTAGGCCTGAGTTTTATATTTCTGAAAGTACCACTAGACCCATCAAATAATAGTAACCTGCCATATAAAACTCCACTACTATTGACTATAATTTTTAGAGCTTCCAAGGCTTGCAAAATTCCAATCACACCTGGGACTAAAATGTGGCAATAAAATCAGGAAGAAAATTGTATAATAAAGTACCTGGCCCTAAAACACCTCCATCACCACAACTTTTAACCGCCCTGGGTGGTGGTGGTACAGGAAATATGCATCTATAGCATGGCCCCGTTTTATAGTTGTACACTGTTAACTGTCCCTCCATTTGTAGTGCACTACCCGAAACCAATGGTATATCATTTAAAATGCATGCATCATTCAGCAAATACCTTGTTGCAACATTATCACTTCCATCAATTACCACAGAGTACTTGTTATGCAAGATCAGATCATTAATTGAATGGCTTGTGATATGAAGTTGCAAAGGAATAATTTTTGTATTGCTGTTAATTCTACAACAAATTATTTGGCTGTACAAATGTAGAATTCTGTTACTGCACATACCTGGCCAATTTTTCATAAGCTGATTGCACTTTTGGGATCATCAAATCATATTCGGAATGTAATATTTGTCTATGTAAATTTGATAACTCAACTTCATCATAATCAACAATGGTAATTTCACCTACTCCTGCACTCACCAAGTATAAAGCTGCAGGACAACCCAACCCACCCATGCCTACAATAAGAACTTTGCTATCCTTAATCGCTAATTGCCCTGAAACACCAACTTCATTCATGATAGTTTGACGACTATATCTAGCAATTTCTTCTGATTTTAGTTTATTACAGTACACATTTTCCTGTAAAATAATATCATTAAGTTTTCAAAAAATTTTTCTATTCTAATTTTACCTCAACGTTTCCTTGTGACTGCAACTCTCTTAGTAAGCATTCTTTTTCGAACAATTTTTCTCTTAGATCCTTAATTTCTTCATTTAAACGTTTTATCTCATTTTTAAACATTTTGCAGAATAATATTAGTTTTTTTTTTCACTTTACTGCCATTAGCCAATTCTGCATATATCATTCGGCCAAAGTTTTTTTTTTTTTTTATTTAAAAAAAAGAATAATTTATTGGTTAATTTTATTAAATTTTATCTGTGAAGCAATCGTGACCAGTTTGCTGCAAAAGAAGAAGAATTCTGTGGTGTTGACATGAATCATCTGTGACGTATTTACTCTTTGGGATTTCCACGTAATTTGTTAAAAATGGGGCCTCAACAAGATGTGGACGAGCTTTTCGACGTTAAGAACTATTTTTACATTGGAAATTATCAGCAATGCATAAACGAGGCACAGAAATTAAGAAAGGCAGGTTCTGTTGGAATAAAAACACTTCTTGGCTAATTATAGTTTTTTCTAGCCTTCCACACCAGAAATTGCAATTCAACGAGATATATTCACTTACCGCTCATACATCGCCCAAAATAAATTCTTAGTGGTATTAGATGAAATTCATGGAGCATCTCCTTCAGAAATTGAACCACTGAAAATATTGGCAGAGTATCTTTCAACGAAGGGTTCAAAAGAAAACATTTTAGCTCAGCTAAATCAGAAAATAGACACAACATACAATGAAACCCTTGTGTTGGTTGCCGGAATTATCTTTATCAATGAAAACAACTATGATGGAGCTTATCGAATCTTACATTCGTTGGAAAGCTTGGAGGCTATGGCATTTATTATACATGTTCTGTTAAAACTAGACCGAACTGATTTGGCAATTAAGAAATTGAAAGAAATGCAAGAGAAAGATGATGATGCCACCTTAACTCAGCTTGCTCAAGCTTGGGTCCATATAGCCACTGTAAGTATTATTCTTTGGAAAATAGTTTTTAAAACAATTGGCAACTTCTTAGGGAGGTGATAAATTGCAAGATGCATACTACATTTATCAGGAACTCGTTGACAAATATGGCTCCACACCTCTTTTGTTAAATGGACAGGCTGTAACATTTATTGGTCAAGGAAAATATGAGGAAGCAGAAGCGGCCTTACAAGAAGCTTTAGATAAGGACTCAAATAACCCTGAAACTTTGGTAAACATGGTCGTGTTGGAGAGACATTTAGAGAAAGGACCAGAGGTATGTTCAATTCTATTTTCTAGCTACTGCTCATGTCCGTGCTTTTAGATTGCAAACCGTTATTTGTCCCAGTTGAAAGACGCCAACCCAGATCATGTTTTTATAAAAGATTTGAAACAAAAGGAAAGTGACTTCTCACGAATTTGTCAATTATATCATCCCAGTAATATGACCATTCCTGTTTGATATTTTCATCTCGCATAATTTAAAAATGAAAATTATTGGCGGTGAAATTATTAATTATTATATACAATTTTAGAAATAAAATAATAGTTCGTTTAAGTCATTTTGTCTAATTTTCTTAAAAAGTAATTCAAAACGAGCACGGAATATTCGATTCAATGATGCGTTTCACAAAAAATGTTGGGCTAGACTACTAGGATCATTCGCCCAGAGCACAGAATATAAAAGTGGTATCTGGCAAAAGACTTCTTTTGACGTGAAAAATACGTCAGGCATAGTGATAGGGGCCAGTCGCCCACTGCTAGCATTCGAAACGGACTGTTCGGTTATAAATCACCACAAAAATATGAAATAACTATTATGCTAAACTTGATCTTGCATGACATAAAATCCTTCTACAAATCTGTATAAATTCTAAACGCACTTACAGGTAACAAACTTGGTAATCGAAATTTCAAAGAGATACCGTTTATAACTTACTGGTACCAAGCTTTTTTGAAGAATTGCACAAACGATAAGGAATAGTTTCAATTGATTAAATTGTAGACATACACGTTGACATTTTTAATGGGCAATTGTTCCTAGTAAACTTGCCTTATGTAGAGTGTGAAAATTTTAAAACTAATCAAGCAGGTGTATAAATAAATAATGGAAAACCAACGTTTGTTAAAAAACGAAAATTTGGAAGATGCCAGTTCGGATGAAAACGACTGGACTGACGGCTCCAGTTATAGTTCCTGTTATTCTGATTCAGATAGGTAAGAATGCTAAGGTCTTTTCGTTTTATTTTTTAACAAATTTCACAGGGGAAAAGTGACGATGCAGTGATGCAGTTCTATTAAACAAAATTGAAATTGGTTATGGAGGCATTAATTACCAATTGCGCAAATATTTAAAATCCATTATAGATCATGTTTCTTCTCTAATTTATTTATATTAATATGAAGAATTTTGAATGATACAGGCAAGTTGGTTTGAATGTAAAACATGTTTTAGATGTTATCTGCCACCGACCATGCTTCTTTAAAATTAATTATTGCTTGCGTGTATTCGCCAAAATATTTTAGGACCCCTTCTTTGTAAATTGTAGTAATTTAGTTCAGAACAGACTATTTTATAAAGCGGTGTACCCATTACAATCAAACGAAGGTGATAGCAATATTCTCCTCAAAAAAACACTACAACATTATGTCCAAACAAGACTAGCATAGATGAAAAAATCTGAATGCCTATACCTCGTTCTACTATCCAAACTAGTAGTAAGCAAAAAAATTTTCGCAATGATATAATATGCGAACAATATGGATTTGTTACTTGAGCCTAAGAATGCATTCATTGACCCCGCAAATCAATTTGTCAATGACTCCATCACTTCACTTTAGCAGAAAATAGCATATTGCTCCTTTTAAGATGGTATTAGAAAAGCAAAAAGCAAACCAAACTAAAAATTTATTTAGGGATGAAAAAAAGCCCACATGAGATGCAAGATCGCTACGAAACAACCTCACAAATCCTGAATTTTTGAACTATTATTTATTTATTATGGATTCGCTGGGTCTGTTTAATGTCATTTAAAATTCTATTATAATTTTTCTTGTTTTAGTTTTTAATCTCGGAAGATAGTTTGTTAAAGTGTTTTTACAATGTCGAAACGTAGCTACGAAAAGAAAATTCTAGAAGAGCAGGAGGCAACAGCCCATGTCTTCCAAGAATTTGTCAACACTTTTCAAGAAGAACCTTGTTCTATCAGTAAGACTTTTGTCAAGTCCGGTGTATTATTTGCTCAAAATTGTGATTTTAAAACATCTAGTGGACAATTATACTTACCCAAACCTCTAATTCTTTCCGATACTCTTAGCAAAAATGTCTTAGAGTGCGCTCGTATATTAAAAACTGAGCCTCTCAGGCCCAAAAAACGTGAAAAGTTAAAATCCAACTTGGAGACTTTGAAGGAAGAGTTGAAACAACGTCATTTGAAAAGAAATGAGAAAGATAAACCCAATTTCGAACAACCGACCGTTGCGGGATTTCCCCCTGAAGTGGAATCTAATTCAACTAACTTGTTCATAGCTAATTTAGACCCCAAAATAACAGAAGCCGAACTTATGAAGGAATTTGGTACATTTGGTCCCCTAGCCAGTGTAAAAATAATGTGGCCAAGGGGTGACGATAGAAGTCGTAGTTCCAACACAAACTGTGGATTTGTAGCGTTTATGAGTAGAAAGGATGCCACTAGGGCTCTTGACTACATGAGAAACCGACAAGATATGCGCATTGGGTGGGGTAAAGCGGTAGAACTCCCTTTGAACCCTATCTATATCCCTCAAGAGCTGTTGCAACAGTATTTGCCTCCGCCTCCATCTGGCTTACCTTTCAATGCTCAGTCTGAATGTAACAGTTCAAGTGACACGGACTTGGCAGCTTCCCTTAGTAACTCAGTAGTTAAGGTCACAATCCCTTTTAACAGAAAAGTCCTGATGCTTGTTAATAGAATGGTCGAGTATGTTATAAAAGAAGGACCTATGTTCGAAGCTATAATTATGAACAATGAGATAGGGAACCCGGAATACAGTTTTCTATTTGATTACAAATCGCCTGTACATGTTTATTATCGATGGCGGTTATTTTCAATACTTCAAGGCGATTGTGTTAAAAACTGGCGTATGGAACCATTTCGGATGTACCAGGGCGGCTCTATTTGGGTGCCCCCAAAAACTCCCGACTTTTCAAAGGGCATGCCCGAGAATTTAATTAGTACAGGTTTTAATGATGATTTATCTGAAAATCAGTTGCAACGTCTTAATGCATTAATTCGGCAGCTGAGTATGGAGAGATCGTCAATTGCTGAAACTATGATATTTTGTGTCAACCATCTGACCGCTATAAAAAGCTGCTTACAAATCATTCTCGAGTCTCTACACTCGAAAACGGCCACACCTTCGAAGTTGATAGCGAGATTGTATTTATTCTCAGATGTTGTTAGCAATTGCCGGCAAAGTGTAAGTTTGGCTTACTTGGAACCAGAAATGGGTTGTGTAGTAGAATATTTTTATAAGATTTTTGGTAATATTAAATCAACATTGGACAAGGAGCTGTTTAAATCGAAGCTGAGACGAGTTTTACGCCACTGGGATTATATTGCTCTTGTTTCACGAGTCTCATTTCAAAAGTGGGATGCGCTTTTTGATGAGCATGATAGCTCGAGTACCTCGAGCAATGACGAACCCTTGGATGGCGCAAATTTATTAAAACGTTCCCTTAAATGTAACAGCAACGACTGTGTAATAAAGCCCAACGAAAGACCGGTTTCTCAAAATATACCTTCTCACTATTTTGTACCGTCAAAATGGGACACTTTGGATTCTGCCGCGCTGGAAACGCAGGCGGTGTCTTCAGACATGATCTATAGAAGCAGTTTGGGTAAATCAAACATTCGCGATCATACGACAGAAGAACATTGGGAGAAAAAGGACACCAAAAGAAAAAAATCATCAAAACATCACAAGGAGGGGAAGGAACGAAAGAAAAAACGTTGAAAGCAATCAAATTATATTTTTTATTGTTTTAAAGTTATAGTGTTCTTAAACTTCTTGTTATTTATAAATAGTAACAAATTGTAAAATTCAATGCGAATTTGACTTTTATAGACCTGTAATCCAATCAAAGGTTTTTTCGTAGTTATAAAGTTGCTTAGCCAATTGTTTGTTGTTATTTTCTCAATAATCTATCGATTGCAGAACATCCGTAGTGAATGATTGAGGAATTAATTAAAAAAGAAAATACCAATAACCTCAGAGGCTTTAATCAAATTATCTTTTTGGAAATAACCAGTAGATTGGCTATATCAACAGGAATAGGAACTTGAGAACTTGCTTCAGTACTTATAATTGTTTTATAATGAACAATAGTTTTTAATTAACATCTCGAAAGTGTATGATATTCTTGTGTTATGGTAAATTGGTTGAAGTAGGCAGGCAGTAAGCTTTGTTACAGCTAAGCATAACTTTTACTTGGCGTGTACTACTAAATTGTTGTACTAAATTGTGGTGATAGTAGTAGTAGCCAATTTCCTCTTTATTATCTAATTTTGCCTTTCTTTTTGCAGTAGGCATGGTGGACGTGGGATAAAATCTTTTCCAACGTGGAAATTGGTGGTTTTAGCACACTCTGTATGTACCTGTAAACTAGTTTTAAGCAAAGTAGGCCGTGAAATTGGCAATTACATTTTCATTTTGACCAAAAATACAGCCTACTTAGCTTTCCAGGAATTTAAAAATCCGGACACAAAACCTTCCATGCTTTCTAAGGAACTATGTACTTTTTGGTGCATTGATACAAAAATCCCAGATGTCGGAAAACTAGGGCAATACTAGGGCTTAATTATTTCATTAACAAAAACCGCTTGACAAATTATTCATTAAACTTTGTGAAGATGTCTTGCAGTCGATAATGATATATAGGAAATTCGATGTTATATTTGATTTTAAAATGTTTTCAGCTCGTTGCGCCATTTCCGAATGACAAATATCTAATCCTAATCTCTTACTAGGTTTATTTTATCGGTTTTTATTTCTATGGTATATTTTAAGGTCACCACCATTTGGTATCAATAAATTTGACCACTCCATGATTCATTCATTGCAGAGCTCTACTTGCATCTTGTGGAGATCGTGATATTTGTTGATAACCCTAGGCTTTTAAAAAGCTTAAACACTTAAACAGTATTTCCTTTCCAGATGTCACTTACTGTCCATCATTAATTTATATTGAATTACGTTTGGGTAAGAGGTTTCGTTCAGCGTTAGAATAAGTTTTTTGGGGCATTTGGGATTTTTGATCTGCATTTAACTCCATATTTGGTTCGATTCTCCAAAAAAACATCAAAAATAGTGCTATATTTTGTATCCAACTACGAATGTGTGACATCGAGAACGCGGTTTCAAGATTTTACTTTTACAGTACAATTCCCGATTGGGAACCATACGTGGATGACCTTTCTGGCGAGCTGCTCTACGTGGATTGTCACCCGTTCGTGACGCAAAATAAGGACCACAACCCAAAAGAGCCGCCCCAACCCTTTTCAAAAACTCAACTGAGGAAAAGCACAAGAGGCAAATTCCTCCGGTTGATTCGGCGGCGCGAGAGTAAAAGACGAAGTCGAAAGGGACCCAAGCCCTTAGACGATGTCGTGGAGAACTCAAACACTCTCAAGGTTAAATTTCAAGACTGCCAAGAGGGCGAAGAAAAAGACGTCACACTGGAAATCGACTCCGAGAACCGGTACAACTTGTCCAGCGATAAATCGCTGGCCGAATCTCTATTAGGCATTAACGTTAGCACCTTATCGGATGGCAATCGCGTAATGATAGCAGGTTTCTCTTTCGACAGCAAAGCGAAAAATGAACGCAACATAAAAATAGGGGACTGGCTGAAAAGCATAAACGGCATCGACGTAAACGTAGACAATCTGGACGACATTCTCCAGAAATTTATCAACCACGATGAAGTGTTGCTCAAACTTCAAAGAGTGGCAGCCACTGAGGTCACGAAAGATCCGCCCATAAACGAACTCAACCTCGAATCGAATTTCGTAAAGGAGTTGATGAACTGCAAGGCTGAAGACGAAGCGACTTTGATGCAAGCTCTTTGCAAACACCCCGTAGGTGTCGTATACTTGGACACCGAAAAATTGAACGAGAATAAGCAGCCGAATGAGGACGTCATTTACTGTTTTCCCAGGCCGCTGCAAAGAAACGCGCTGTGCAATGCGCGTGGCAGCTTTATCACCTTGAGCCATTTGTTACAAGATGTGACTAATTCCGATGCAAATTCGAGTACGTTTTTTTACAAACAACGTCTCGTACATATCGTTTATACCAAATTGGATAAAAAGTTGTTGTTATTTATGTTGCCGGACGACAGATTAAGTATTAAAGAGGTCAGTTTGCTTCATGAGCAACTGGTTCGACTTTTAGAATTTTCTTACGAGTCCGTCGATCAGTGTTTCACCACTGAGCGGCACGCGAATCAAGTCGACTGGTTTTTCTCGAGGTTTTTCGCCAGAATAATGAGCGATTGCAGTTGGGCCACTATCAAACAGTTTCTCGAGCAACAAGATTCGAATGAAGCGACTCCGTGTTTATTCGAAGATGTTTTACCTTATGTACCGAACCTTAACCTTCAGGATGAGGCTCTAATGCAGGTAGACGATGCTCTGGCCGAGTTAGAAGCGAGTGATTACAGGGAGTGGGTAAGTGATTTCAATAAAGAAAATTTAATTTCACAAGAGATCACGTTCCGAAGAAATTTGAATATAGCCTGAATCATTTTCATTTACAGAATGAAGAACCACTGGACTGTCAGCGTTTGTTCACCATTTTGGGCAGCGCTTTATTTCACTCAGGTTACCTAGTCGCCTCTCATTTTATACAAGACGATTTGATAGACGTCTGCTGCTTCTGCAAACAGCAAGGTTTCTTCTACCTCTCGAGGTCTGAACCCGTAAAATCGCTGGTATTTTGGAAAGAAGTGTTCCCTTCATCTTGTAAAAATTTTCCTAGTGCAATAAAATTCCCATTAGCCAGGAGATATCTGTTGATTGTAGGGAGCGGAAAAGTAAGTTTGTTTTTTTTTTCGTTCAATTACGGATTGTCGAAATTCCGTCACAGCGTTAGTTTTTCCAGGATCTGTTAACTGTGTTAATGGAAGCAGGTGGTTGCACTGAGTCAGCCGAACCGAATATGGGCCCTGACGCATTTTATGTGGAAGAAGCTCAAGCCACTTTGGCGCATGTGCAAGAATTGGGTGTTGGTGAGTTGGCAGATCGCTCCGTAGCAAATAATTCCGGCTTTGGAATCGTCACTCCGACTCCTCCGGCGAGCAAGAAGAAAACCGATTTCATGGGCACTCTGAACTTTCCACGAGCAAGCTCTTCGTTGGTGAAAGAGCCCGCTCCAAGTGCAAAACGGACGGAAGTTACGTCGATTTTGAAACGTCGCAGTTCGGATCAGAACTTTTCGTCTTCGTTGGTGGAGGACGTGTACGATGCGTATTCAGAGGGTAGCGATAGCCAGTGCTACAGCGAGAGGATGAGCGAGATTAGTGACGATTCGGGAATTCGGCAGAAAAATGACGAGGATTCTGATACAGACGAATTTATGGTAAATATTCGGCACTTAGTTTAGAACAAATAATCAGTTTTGCAATTACATATTGCATATTACATTAGAGTTCGCCTAACGATATACCGTTTTCACCATATAATCCGATATTCGGTACTTCGGTACTTCCGCATACAAATGCGGAATGCTGACGGATTGGTGTAGAGTTTCATAGGTGAGACTCGCCGATTATTATTAGGCCATTCTTACTTTAAAATGTTTATTATAAATATAAATGAAGGACCAAATTTAGCTATAAAACAATGTTAGAATATTTATTTAAAAAAAAAAGTTATTTTACATCAAAATAATCACTATTGTCACTGGACTTGTCCCCCAAATTAATAATTGATTCTGGCACATTCTGTAAACATTTTGTTCTTCGATGACATATTCTACACATTTTTTACAACTAGAAGCTGATATTTTTTGCACTTCATTTCTAATTAATTCTATTGCCCCAGCATTAAATTACGGCGAGGTGTTGTTTCTTCTTAAACTGGGTTTCAGCTGTCCCTATCAATTCTATCGAATTAAAATTGCAGTGGTGGAGAATGAACAACTTTGAGTCCCCGCTCCATGTCCAACTTGTGCACATTATACTTCTTTCAAACGTTTCCGTCTTTCAATAACTACTTCTTTGAGTAGGAATTTTCAAAAAAATTTGGAATGACTTCTTTAGTCGATGATGAATTAGGTATTTTTTCCGCTTCTGCAGAATGGTAGCTGATGTCCAGTACAACAGTACTGTTTGGTGGAATATTGGAAAGCAATTTTGCTGCTGTCATGTTTTCGTGATAGTCAACCTTTACTTCTTTCACATATTTTGCAGAAAGCAACAAAGTTTTATGTACCCAACCAGCTTCAAAGCCCGCATCGTGGCTATCAAACCAGGTCTCATCTAAATATATGATGGAGACGTTTTTAGTACGAATTTCTTAGATTTCTCTCAAACATGTTGTTCTCCTCTCCGAAATTCTTCTAGATTTCATCAAAACTTAATTTTATGGCTCCACTTTTTCCAGATGTCGATGTCAGAAACAGAAACACATTTAAAATTATAATTTTGGCAGCACAATTTTTGGTATGGCAATAAATAAATTGTAATAAAATGTATAAATGTATATAAAATGGTAGCTCAATAAAAATGGCACACTGAGTCTTGAAAAACAGTTGAATAACAGTAAGTTGGTAGTTACTAATTACAAACACAAGGCGGAATAGAAACAGCTCCAAAACTTCAACGGCTAAGAAAATACTGTTTCATTAAACTGACAGTATACTCCAATTTCACCAACCCCCACAAATCAACCAATAGCAAGCTGAGAAAACATCAATTATGTACATAAGATTTTGTATTGCTTTCCTAGGACATCATTTTAGAGTCATTATGTTAAACCCCGAAATTTGAAATCAGTTTAAGCTTTCTAATGTATTTTTAATATAGATCAAGCACTGTAATGTCTAAATTCAACTTGAAATCGAGCTTCTTCAAGTAGTTTTAGGAAGATTTATGAAACTCAAACTAATATGAATTCATATACCAGTTTAATCAAAGAAAATTTCCCCACCCTTGAAATACAACAGTTTGCACGGCACAGTTCTCGTCGGCTGATATCTTAAATACAGACCTGGTCTGTCGTACACTTGCTGAAAAAAATGGTCCCTTACGCTTTATAAGAGGACAGGCCGTCAACTCATTCCGAACTCAAAACCATAAAAGGTTGTAAAATCGGTATATGGTTAGCAAACTATAAGCCATTAACATCCTAGGTCATACCTTCTGTGAGGAGGTGTGAGGTATGAGTAATGATATGCTATTGTCAAAGATTTTGACGTTGGGTTGTGCTAATGTACTGGTGTAATGTAAGCAGCTCGGAAGACGGCGCTCTGACAATAACCTAACATGTTCCATTTCGTTCCCTTTAAAATCTTGTAATAACTTGGTCATATTTGAGGTTTAACTTAAACGCTGCACTCGCCGACCGTCCGTAAGTGGCATGTGTGACGTACGACGTCTCAATCCAAAAATTTGGTATTGGTTTGCCTCAAACCAATATTTCTTAATAAATGTATGTTTCTGCAATTCTCTGTGGACCCAATTTGTAACGTTAACTTCCAATTGGAATTTTTTATTGCCCAGTCTCGTCAGAAATGGTGATCAAATTTAAATCTGGATAATGTCTTTGTCTATAGGATGGCAGTCAAATTAGCACCAGCAGCTTTGATATATCCGAAATGAGGCAGTCTTTACTTTCTGAAATGGGCGATTATGTTCCAGTTCAACTTACAGTAGGAGAAACAAATATTTTGTACGATTTTATCCATTTGGATGCCACAGAAGGTATATTAATAAGCCCATTAGATTGCAACTTGAAGTCGCAAACCTACCACAATATAACCAACAATTTCAGAAGGTGTTGTCAAATTATTCACGGAGTATTTCAGAATACATTGAGGTTTAAGGTATTTTTTCTTCTTTTTTTTTTGAAAATATTTATTGAACGTTAAAAATGTTATTTCAGAATATGCCAGCTCAGGATATCGCCAAGACATTGATGAACAAAAGTTTGATAGCAATCAAAGAGTACGGAGTGGTATTTGAATGCTTGTATGTTGATGAAAAAGAAAATAATAAAAGAAACAAAATCACTTACTGGGTTGTGGGGTATTTTATTAGGTGATTACTATTAGCATATTTGTGTCTACTTTTTTTTTAGGAGATTATTTTATATGCCACATCCGAGGGAAGTCTATGTTTGTTATCAAGAACTTGTTCCACAAAATATGGTTGAATTAGCTTTTAAAATTGGATTAAATTGCTCATTTTAGAAGTTTGTTGGGTTTTAGTTCCATTTTTGCATTACCTTTTTTAGATAGGTTGATTGTGACATCTTACATATAAAACATGGAAAGTTATTCTCTTCTTGAGATTCGCGGTGTTAAAGCTAAAAGGTATGTTCATAGAAAATTTAACCACCAGTTCTAAACCAATGTAATATTGTAATCAGCTTAAAATTTTCTAATTTTTAAAATTCAAAAAAAAAAGATTTTTTTAAACTAGTAGAAAATAAAATATTGATTTTAAAGTATATTGACATTGATAAATTAAAGTGTTCTTTATTTTATATAGATCAGGAAGCCTTTCCTATGGATAGTGCTTTAGGATGGGTGCAACTTCTAAGAGTTAAAAATGTTTGCACGCTTAATAAAGTGAAACCTGAACGTAATGTTAACAAAAAACGACGGCTTTTATTTTCTGATAGACGAATAAAAAGTTTATTTGGCGTTTTACAGGTTGTAATCAAATACGATGGCATAATTTGTAATATTGTGTTTATGTTACTTCCATTAATATCATGTAAAGCACACTAAGCACGAATAAAAACTGGCGTAGATTATATAGAACCACACCTTTACACGAGCCAAAAATAAACGTAAAAACTTAACCCAAGAATAACACTATAACATGTCGCCTTATCGTTCGAAAAGCAGCAGTATGACGTCACGATCATCCCCTGGCGTTTGGCGTCATATAAAAGGAATAGCCGGGCGTCACCACTTGAATTATTCATTGCAACTTATATATTGAGTTTTAATATTTGATATATGTTATTTCTGTACATAAGAAATTAAAAAAATGTGCAAGTTCCCTATTTATCAAACAGCACGAATATATTCAATAAGTGTAACGTGACAGTCAGAATTTGCAAATATCAAAATTCCATGCCTAAAATTCATCGAAAACATCCGTTCTATCCGAAACCAATCACCGACTAAAAAGGATTAAAACACTATGAAACACACGTATCCGCATGTAAGAAATGCTGTTGTTGCATAATGATCAGCAGCGCTAAAGGATATTCATTAACTAAAACTTAATCAAGCTATAACCTGCAACGTGTGTTTGCCATAAATTTCAATTCAATCTTATGTCACGCCCGGTGTTTGGATAAAGGAACATGTTCGTGATTTTGTTGAGTTTCTTGACCCCTTGTTTTTGGAAAAATCCGTGTTAATTAAAATTACATTCGATGACGTAAAACTCAATTATTACGCCTACGTCAAGTGTAAAACGTTTACGTTGAAACTGATCAACTCAATAGTATAGCATTCTTATTACCGTTATTTACTTATTACCCAAAAGTTAATAAAAATATTTTGGAAGTTAATAACACTTTCGCATACAATACGTTAACAGGATCACCCCATAGAAAAATTTATTGGAGAATGAACCACTCCGAGTCTATTTTTTCAGTTCTTATTTCCAAATTTTAGCACCTCTCACTTCAAAAATACGAATTGAATTTACGAGATCAATACTTATATTCAAGCGCGCCATCTTTTGATTGAAATAGGAATTATAACGGAATGCAGGCATATTTATCATTCAAAAAGTTGAAAGTTCTTTTAAATGATAAAACATCGAGTTTCGGATTGAGGAGTAAGTAAAACAAACATTCTATAAATATAGTATTTACTGCTTAACATAGACAAGTAGATAATACATTTAAAATGTGCCATGTTAATAGAACTTCTATATCTCTTAATCGGACTGGCGCTTTCTCCGAAAATCACCATTCTCGAATTTATTAGTCTTTCTATTAAGGATATGAGTGGTTGCAGTCGTGAAATAATAAAATTAGTGAAAACTATTTTTATAAGCGTCTGGGGACTTACGATTAAATGAAGCGTAGTAGTAAACCTAGAACTAAAAAAAAGTTTGTACTCTAGTCCGGCGTCGATATACGGAAATAGAATTTTATCTTCCAGGATATTTAAACAAACTCGAATGTTATAATTTTTCCCCGTGGATGTTCTAACAAAGTTTTGACTAGAATAGAAATTTTCATGAGATGCAATGGAAGAAATACATAAATAAAGAAAAGGTGACATTTTTATGATATGAACACGCGGACAGTCGCTTCGAGGGGCGCACGACAAACAACACAGTTCTTCAAAGCCACCGAGCAATCCACGCAAGCGGCAATGTGACGGCATGGCAGGAAAACCACGCCCAGCTCGTTCTTGTAACAAATTTTGCATAAAGTCTTGTCGGCCTCTTGCACCGCCTCCGAAACACTTTCACACTTACTAGCACTCGATTCTTCAGTTTTCTCTTTGGTTTCTTCTTTAGGTTGACTTGTTCCCGCTTTGGGGTGCTTTTTCTGTTTCACCTGTTCCACGTATTCCGCGCCCTTTTTCAATAATAAATAGTTACATTTGGGGAACCATAAAGCGTGCTCCTCCCAGGGATCGTCGTTTTCTTCCCAATCTTTTAGTCCACCTCCACAATGGAAGCACAATGTCTGGTCTCCCACTCCCAGATAAAAGAAACCGGCGTCTGCCAAATCGTGGGGCGTTTGTTTAATGGATTTCGGCCAAAGACCAAACGTTTTAATACGACTTTCGTAAGTAAATTTCTCTGGGTGCGCCAAACCCTTATTCTTAGGTATTCCCAACCGCTCTAAATTCACCATACGCCTTTCGTCTTCAGGAACTGAATTGGGTAGGACTTCCAAACCGCCGTACAAACCGCAAGTATCTACAGTTCGGGTGGTTTCGTTTGAGGAATTATCGTGTTCCACACTGGTCGCTACAAATGGACAATTTGGACTCCAAGTTCTATGGTCCTCCATTGGATTGTCATCGGCCACCCACTGGTACCCCTCTATATTACAATAGGGGCATTCGACAACATCCTCGTGATTTTTATAGTAGAAACCAGCTTTCGCTAAAACGTCAATCGCGATTTGATTATTTGGCCAGTTTACAAAAGATTTTATTCTGTCTTCATATTTTTTGTAATCTAGGGTTTCAGTTTGTATTTCCGGAGAATCTGGGGCTCTTTTTGCGCCGTTGTCGGTCTCGCTTGGGTACCTGAATGTCGACAGCGGTCTTGTGGTATGACTTAAAATTAACTCACTCATAATTTTAAGCGTAGACGTTACGTGAACACCAATCTGAAAAAAAAAGCAACTTTTAAAAATTTCGCCAAAGAACACAACAACTAAAGCTTCCTTTACAATCATAGGTATCGTATGCAACCTATGATACACTTTTGTGCATCTTTTGGCTAGTACCGATTTCGCCCTCAGTTTACGAAGGTTTTAAAAGAACGAAAAACAAATTAAAAATTTATTTGCGCTGCTAGAACTAAATATTTTCCCTTTGAGTTTCTCTTTGATCAGAAATTCGTAAACTGCATACCAATTCTAGAAATTGTTGTGGGTTCCAAATTGACACGGTGCAAAAACTACCTACTAGGTTTGTGAACGAGGGCAAGAACTGAGCACTACCTTGCAATGGTAAATTCCAATGCAACGCAAAATGAAAAAAAGTACCGATAGACGACTAAGTACTAAAATATAACAGTATTGAGGCCGACTTTCTTCGATACCCCGGCTCGAATACCTCTGGCAGCGACGGGGAATAGTACCCGCGAGTACAGGCGTACCCGACAGAGCTAAAAAAGGACGGCAACGCCGTTGGAATTCAGAAACCATTCACGACTTCCAACATTCTTTCGTACCGCTCCCCGACCCACCGCTAACACTATTAAAGTATCCAGCCCTACCACATTCCGAAGAGATCACATCAATGACCGAGCGCGCCGGAAACAAAAAAAACATGAGCTAAGGACAGAGACAGACCTACGCTGATGGGCCTCCAGACCGCTTCTCGGAAAAACGCCGGCAACTCTACCTACCACAGACCAGACACTATAAACTGGTTGGTTTATAATTTCAACTTACAGCAGTAGACGATTTATTTTATACAGCTAAATAATAACAATTACGATAAATACGTCGAAATTATGTAGAGCACAAGCGCTTAGGAAACATGGCTGCTTTTTAATCGTTCTTTTTCGCAACAGCTGGGCCGTGTTTGACAACAGCCATTTAAGCCCAACGAAACGAGTGTTTACTGACCTTGGTAATCGTCCTAATTTCGCATCATTTTCGGCACCGACGGATTACAAAAAAACCTTATCAAACGCATAACGCCGACAAACAAAACACGTACACTAAACGAGCCAACCCGGCCATTTACAAGAACACAGTTGCCACGTTTCGAAGGCGCAAACGCGTTCGAGTTCCCTTACCGATGAGAAGCAGGATAGCAGAGTGAGACAGCTGGCAGACGGCGATTTTTACAATTGTAAAATTTTTATATTTGCGATTGTTCAAATGGCATTGCATACTTTGTAGTTACCACGGACCAGTAACTAGAAAATATGAAAAAGTGCAACCCCCAGCAGCAGCGGCAACCATTTATAGTTACTTAGCGGGTATTATCATATCATTTCCGAAAAAAAATTCTAATCTTAACAACGGATAGGTGCAAAATTGCAATGTTTTGTTTATCTCACGTGCGTCACAGAATAAAAACGTTAGTCAGGTGGAAATTGAATCGTTTCCAAGTCGTTCGCCTGGATGTGCAAAATCGATGAGCCAGTTACACACTATCGCAATTCAAATACACGATACTTACGTTACTTTATAGCAGTAACATCTCCAGAGTCATGATATCCGTTCGTCGCCCACGTCGCTTAATTCAAAAACTATCGATCGTCCAAAAAAAAACTCGGACACAGGGCACACCGATCACCGTGAGAAATTAAGTCGAACTGCGAACGCCTGCTACGTTTATTCCCACAGACTTTGCGCTCTGCGCTTCGGCGTCGTACGTCTGCGACTGGAAAGTTCACATGGACGAATGGTGTGGGAATCCGACCGAAATGCACTTAAAATCATTTACGTAGTCGGGTCGGTGGGTGGACGGGGTGGAACTTTTGTGCAATAAAGCTCTCTATTCATAAACAGCTGGGAGTGAAACGAAAAATGTCAACGTTGAAACTACAGAATGAAACGAACGACATTCATTGGGGGGAGGCAGCGAGATGCCAAAGCTAGACAGTGCTTGAAATTTCGTTCCCACTCCAAGAAACGTTTCGACGATAATAGTTCTTTGACAGGGAGTTTGGCCCCTTTGGGTGGAAAGGAAAATATTTAAAAAATGTCACCTATTGGAACAAATCGGTAAAAATTTTTTTGCTTTGGTACTCACTTGCTTTTCCTCCTTGTTCAACTTATACTTTGGCTGCTTAGTGCATATACAATGATTGGGGCTTGTTTCAGGGTTCATTTTATATAAATTATATTATTTACAAGTGACGAAATCAATTTCCTGACAGCGGAAAATTTACGGAAATTTTTGCCATGGTGAATAATATGTGCTTGTGAAAATATTTAAACGGTGAGCCAACATAAGGTAATAAAAACAATACCGAGGACAAACAACGATATCCTTCTATGAATCCATCTCATTATTAATCTTGCTAGATTTACCTAGGTCAGTTTAAAGTTTAGTTTGGAAAATAGGAAGAAAAACACGTATATCTATTACAAAATTACGATATCTTGCAGTCTCAGAAAAGCAAAATGAATTGTTTCGAAACAAAATCGATAAGTTTCTTATTGTGCAGATGTGGCACATCCTCAACATACACAATTTTATCTCCTCAAAAAGATTAAAATAAGGAAAATAAATACGAACTTTACGCGAAAAAAGAAGCAAAAAAAAAGATTTTTATAACGATATGCATTGCGTTGCAATTGCATTATTTAACGTATTATTGTGAATTATATTTGCGGTACAACCACTAGCAACAAATTCTGTGAATTCGAATACAAAATAAAACATTGATGTTCGTAAAAAAGCGGTGACGTAATTACTATACATTTTGGTAACCTTGATGTTGCGCAACCATCAAAGCTGTAGCCCGGTCGACCCTGGGGGGCCCCCCAAATTATTTAGCAAAAACACTTTTACTTTCGCAGGATATAAGGATTATTCTCTCTAAATACGTACATAAATAAACATTTGTATGAAATACATAACAACAGTGTCGCTGCGGTCGTTTGGTAATATTAATACAATGCGACACTTAAAGCATTAAATTTAATTACTAAAAACAGGCCGCAGCTCCTCTCTTCATTCGCTTGTCCCCACTGAAATACAATAATGTTGATGACGGACGTAAGGGGATATTTATGTTACATGATATTTCATATATACTTACACTCCATTATTGATAACAGAAATCAATACTGGCTAGCTAAAATTAATGTCTTTATATGAACTCAAGCTGCTCTAAATACTATCATACGTTCGGCATTTGCCAATTATTTTTCGACACGTCCGGCGCAAAATGTATTTGTTTGATTTTTCCGTAACTTATATTATTTATTTTGTATTCTCATTATGATTATCTAGTATTCACACCAAAAAAACCAAAAATTTAACTACTTACCGATTTTCTCTTCTTCCGTTCATAACTTTCTGTCCACAATTCGGTTAATTCGTTAACATTAATGTCAAAATTGCTAATTAAAAAAAAAAATTATAACATCATGAACGTATTTTTTTGGACTTAGCAAGCAAATCTACACCATGTCCTGTTACTAAGTATTTATTAATAGTGTTGATTTAGTCAATTTAGTTTTAGTGAGTGAGCGAAAACGCCACTTTATTTGTAACATAAACTATATCGTATTGTTAAAAACCAACTAATTTTTTATGTGTAATTAGCAATGGAATATAATAAACATTATAAAGCTTACGATTTTTCGATTACATGCACTCCTGTCCATTTTCTACACAAAACACTTGATAAAATAAAAATGATTTATTTATAATAACTTACTGTTTCGAAAGTATATGTTGCTAAAAAAACTAAATGACCAGAGCGGAACTTACTATACAGCAAATCGGATGTCTTTTTCTTCTTTACGCGTTTACTATTTTTCACTGCAAGGAAACGTATAGAGCATACAACAAAAAGCAGCCGTTCTACGTCGATAATACCACCGTATGCAGCGGAAGTGTTGCTACTCTTTTATTTTCACAGCCGAATTAACCCAACATATCCGGTATTTTATGGTAGATAAACTACTACAATCGTCGCGATATCGGTCTATCCGTCTTTAACGGCGGTAAACAAGGGCCTCGGATAATATAAACATGCTTGAACCGAAGGGACTTACTCCAGCTTTCGCTGAAGAATTTCGAGCAAAGTACCTGGAATCTATTTTTCACTTATCAGATATCTAAGTTTCATAATCTAAGGTCAGGTGGTGATTTTATTAAGCGTCAAACTGCACGAGCACTTCAATAAGTCATAACACTAATTACGAGAACTTCAGTAAAAATGTTACAATTTGATTTGATTGATTTTGTCGACAAATAGTTCTAAAAACCGTTTAGTTATTTATTTTCGACTTTTGCGCTCATATTCATTAATTAGGAGAATATGCTATTTTAAAATATAGCAAAATTTTCAACATTACTAAACTTGGAGGGGTGGGATAGTGTGCTGCGGGAGGACAAGCCTGTAGATTGTGCTACTACATTTATTACCTCTTTAAGTAAGTATGTAAGGTTTTCAACAGAACAAAAATATATAAAATGCAAGTTTTGAGTGAAAAGACTATGGATAACTGGTGGTATAATTACATCTACAAGACAAAGAGACTATCTGAAGAAAAAATCTACTCTAAATCCTAGATATAGAAGCTAAGCAAAAATTTATACTTTGTTAGGCCGGGCAAGAGCCTTGTACTTTGAGGAATTTTTTGACAAATATTGTAGTGATGCAAGGCAAACTTGTAAAACTATTTAGCATGCCATTAATGAAATCACGGATAATCCGAAAATTTCCAGTGTTGTAGGCAGGGACAATATTTCCTATACATCACCTAAGGAAATAGCCGAGAAATTCAATAAGTACTTTAGTAGTGTAAGGAAACACTTGCGAGGACGATAAAAAATCCAAAAAATTTAAGTTTTAAATAGGAAAAAAGTAATTTAAGTATATATTGTCGCCAATACTAGAAAAAAAATACGGATTCAAATGTTGGGGATGGTATTACTAAAGCTCTTATTAGAAAAATATATAAATACGGCTTTGGTTAACCTGGTATTGTCCAAGGGAGTCTTCGCGGACATTTTTATGGAATCTGTTATTATCCCTCTATACAAATCAGGTTCTAGAGACCAAACGTCGAGTTACAGGGCAATTACACTAGTACGTAGTATGACTAAAGTCCTTGAAAGTGTATTGAAATTAGATTAAAACAAGTTTTTAGACAAAAATGCCTTATTCAACACTAATCAGGAAAAAAGTAGACACGGAAGGTGCGATGATCAAGCGTAGTCCGGTTTTTTGATGACAGAAAAAAGTGTATTACTGTTTTTCTTGATTTGGCGAAGGCACACACTGTGTCGAAGCATATCTTGAGAGAGTTGAAGGCTTAGGTATTAGAGGGCTAGTAAAAAAACTAATTAAATCATACAACCAAGATAGAGTGCAAAAAGTTAAATTAGGTGCCTAAGAGCAGCTGTTCCGGTAGAGCATGATGTGTCGCAGGGCATGGTTCTGGGGCCAATCTTGTTTACATTTTATGTAAATGGAAGGTATTGTCTGCTATGTAGATGATGCGGCATTGATTATTGTTGAAACCACTTGGAAACAAACTATCGCAAAGGCTGAAAAATTACTAAGTCTAGTAAAAAAATGGCTGGATTATAGTCTGCTGTCACTTAATTGAGAGAAAACCCAATTCATTATAATAGTAATAATAATTCATACTATTTTTGCCCAACTCTAACAAAACACTGTTGTAGTCCATATCGGTTTTTAAATTAAACACAATTTAGAACTTTTGTGATGATTTACCTAATTACCAGGTATGATTTATAAGATTTATGAAAAACACCAAGGAAAAATTCATTGCTAGTATTTCCAAATATACAATTTTTTTAAATACGATACCTTAAAAAACCCTTTAAATGCCAAATATAATATAATGAATTAAATAAATTTTGGACCGATTTGACCAACTAATTAAATTGATGGATCATTACTCGTAATAATTTAGTTTCAAAAATTACTTAAATATGTGGCTAATTACTGTCATACCTACGTTTTTGGCGTTTTACATTTATTTTTAGCGAATAATATCACTTTGTTAATAACAACAAATAAACATTTTTCATATACTTGCAAAAGTATAAGCAAATAATATATAATAACTCTTGTTTTTATTTCTCCTTTCCATGATAATCTTATTGTTGTATGTTATAGGTTGTTTTGTTTCTCTGCATCCAGCTGTCTGTTTTATTAAACTTTCATTTCTCTTATATAATATTAATATAATTATTTTTGGAGGAAAAAATAATACCCCCAAATTCTTGAACTTAAAAACTGGGCGACAAGAAAACCGATTCCAAAGAAAAATCCATAATGGTCTTTGTAACTGATTTTTCCAATTCAATCCAACTATTTATTTGAAACGTGGCCAATTTTTCCATTGATGAATTTAGATTTTTATCTCGATATTGCTGTGGGGCCAAAATTGAGGGCGTATGTCTTTTTTTTTCGAAGAACCATTGTTTTCTTCGATAGAAACAATGAGTTGTTTCCAAACAATCGACAATAAAGGCGTTTCTATCACAATAACATTTACGACACCGTAAAGCGGGTAATCTGGAACTAAATATGTCCCGATACTTTATTATATTTACTGCTTTAATGAGTCTTTATCTCGAGCAAATATCCACATTCTTTGTTCCATTTAAGGGACGTTACCATCCAATGTCTTCTTTTGCTTGAACGATTCTGAGAAAACAGTACTATGTATATGTAAACGCTGTAGCATTTCGATGCTAAGTTGGGTCCTTGGACAACAGAAAATTAAACAACATGTATCGACCCGTCCGTACGAAAAAAGAACAAAAGTATTGCCTAAAATTTAACGCAAAATTAATTCGACTGTAAAAACAAAGAGATTAAAATGAGACCTCCCAACCGTGACTGCTACACATCCTGCTTTGGACTAAACATACTTTTTTTGGGTTAATGTACTTGTTTACGTGTGTGGGACTGAAAATAGTACCTACGTCTTAAAACAAACCATTAAAAAACGAGACTAAATCAACAACAATGGGTATTAATAGAGTTATTATTTTCACAGAATCATGGACGAAAATGATATAGTGTCCGCCGTTTTCAAAGTAACAAAGAGTGATTGATCGAGATAAAAAGTTTTAAATCTTTATATCTCCATTTTCCGGAAATCGGCTATGAATAAATTTGACCGTCCAAAACTAGGTATCCAGTTGCTTGCTACCAATGTGCCGTTCTCTGTTTGAGGTCTCTGTTTCCCTTTATGTTATATTAAATCGTGTTATTGCGTTCCTAAGAATTGCCTGCGTATTTAACTCTACACCTACGTCCACCTACTTTGTTTTTATTATTTAAGTTTGATTAAACGAATTCGATATGGACTATGTAGTCTAGGGTATGTTTCAGATTCAAATTAATGCGAAGATCTATCCTATTGGTTAAAAAATAAATAAATTATCTTCGATAGTTCGAGAAATATTACTAAAAAAACAACAAGAAAAATGCACTTTTGTATTTAATTTTTTCTGGAGCTTGATTTTTAGTTCTCCTCACTACTGGGGTTACAGAACACATTGAGATAACCGCCAAGTACTACCAATAAAGCAATTAAATTACACAGTTTTATATTCCAATTAGGTCGTTTAAAAATTTCTGTATAGTTTTAAAACCATCTCTGTTGAAATTGGTAGATCATTTGATGAGTTGGTCTTTAAATTACGAAGCGCTCACAAAGGGAGACAATACAAGAAAGGATTTTTTTAAATATGATACCTTAAAAAACCCTTTAAATGCCAAATATAATATAATGAATTAAATGAATTTTGGGCCGATTTGACCAACTAATTAAATTGATGGATCATTACTCGTAATAATTTAATTTCAAAAATTACTTAAATATGTGGCTAATTACTGTGATACCTACGTTTTTGGCGTTTTAAATTTATTTTTAGCGAATAATATCAATTTGTTAGTAATTGCTTAATAACAACAAATAAACATTTTTCACATACTTGCAAAAGCATAAGCAAATAATATATAATAACTCTTGTTTTTATTTCTCCTTTCCATGATAATCTTATTGTTGTATGTTATAGGTTGTTTTGTTTCTCTGCATCCAGCTGTCTGTGTTATTAAACTTTCATTTCTCTTTATATAAAATAATTAATTAAATAATTAAAAAAAAACAATCTATGTCCATTCTATTTAAAATTGTTAATAATTTAATTGACTTCCTTGGATTGCTAGAGGAAACTTACATGTATGCAGTAGAAACTAGAACAAACATTTTGTTTAATCTTAGTTTCTATAGAACCAATTATAAATTTCATTCTCCTCTAATTTCAAGAACTTTCCGCCCCCTTAATGAAATTATTTTAATTATTGATT